TACTGAATGTTCTACTATGTGGGTATAAGTGTATTGTACAGTTTACTGAATGTTCTACTATGTGGGTATAAGTGTATTGTACAGTTTACTGAATGTTCTACTATGTGGGTATAAGTGTATTGTACAGTTTACTGATGTTTTACTATGTTGGTATAAGTGTATTGTACAGTTTACTGAATGTTCTACTATGTGGGTATAAGTGTATTGTACAGTTTACTGAATGTTCTACTATGTGGGTATAAGTGTATTGTACAGTTTACTGATGTTTTACTATGTTGGTATAAGTGTATTGTACAGTTTATTGATGTTTTACTATGTTGGTATAAGTGTATAGTACAGTTTACTGAAGTTTTACTCTGTGGGTATTAGTGTATTGTACAGTTTACTGAAGTTTTACTCAGTGGGTATTAGTGTAATATACAGTTTACTGAAGTTTTACTCAGTGGGTATTAGTGTAATATACAGTTTACTGATGTTTTACGGGTATGACGTGTATTATGCACCGTATGAAAGAGATATTATGTATGCTGTACTGTATAAAACGGGTATTAGAGGTATTATGCAGCGTAAAAAAGAGATATTATGTATTCTGTACTGAATAAACTATGTATTTCATGTATTATGTATCGTATAAAAGGGGTATGTCGTGTAGTATGTATCGTATAAAACGGGTATGTAGTGTACTATGTATCGTATAAAACGGGTATGTAGTATACATGTATCGTATAAAAGGGGTATGTGGTATATTATGTATCGTATAAAACGGGTATGTAGTATATTATGTAGCATTAAAACGGGTAGGTAGTATATTATGTATCGTATAAAACGGGTATGTAGTATATTATGTATCGTATAAAATGGGTATGTAGTATATTATGTATCGTATAAAACGGGTATGTAGTATATTATGTATCGTATAAAACGGGTATGTAGTATATTATGTATCGTATAAAACGGGTATGTAGTATATTATGTATCGTATAAAACTGGTAGGTAGTATATTATGTATAGTATAAAACGGGTATGTAGTATATTATGTATCGTATAAAACGGGTATGTAGTATATTATGTATCGTATAAAACGGGTATGTAGTATATTATGTATCGTATAAAATGGGTATGTAGTATATTATGTATCGTATAAAACGGGTATGTAGTATATTATGTACCATTAAAACGGGTATGTAGTATATTATGTATCGTATAAAATGGGTATGTAATATATTATGTATCGTATGAAACTGAACTAGTGTTCAATAACCCTCTTCTTACCTTCATCTTCAAACTCTATTTGACAGATGAAATATTTTTCCAAGGAGCAGGCTATCTGTAATGTGATGGAGTTAGAGAGTTGTAATGCAATGCAACCTTCAGTTACAGTTCCTAACAAGTTGACATTTGAGTTAATGTCAGAGTTTGGATCAATCCAAAACTCTTCATCCTGGATTCCTGCTGCATTTGCCAGCAATTCCAGAAACTCTTGCGTATTGCTATTTCGAACTCTGGCTACAACAGCACCATCAACACCACAAAACTCACTAGCCTTTTCGTACAGTACTGGAACAGGAATAATTCTGAAGCAGTCAAATTCGTAAGCGTAGTAGCCTGGCGGGCAAGCTAGAAATAGAAAACATTGCTAATAGCTATAGTTTATATTTGAAATATAAAGTCTTCCAGAAAATTATTTGAAACCACTTTAACTAAAATATTTTCAATACTAAAAGCTAAGTTTTACTTAGAGGACATATCGTCTATCTAACATTGACATTCTAGTACAAGGATTAAATGTTTGTTAAATACCTTTTATTTTAATACAGCAACTGACTAGAAAGCTGTAAAAATATACTTCTCCAATTTACCAATAATTTGTTTCGTTTGTGAAACAAGATCCATCCCTGACCACACCGACAGTCAGTTTTTACCTCGTTTGTGACTGAAGAAAGAGTAGTTTGTGTTACAAGATCCATCCCTTACCACACCAACAGTCAGTTCTTACCTCGTTTGTGACTGAAGAAAGAGTAGTTTGTGTTACAAGATCCATCCCTTACCACACCAACAGTCAGTTCTTACCTCGTTTGTGACAGAAGAAAGAGTAGTTTGTGTTACAAGATCCATCCCTTACCACACCAACAGTCAGTTCTTACCTCGTTTGTGACTGAAGAAAGAGTAGTTTGTGTTACAAGATCCATCCCTGACCACACCGACAGTCAGTTCTT